CTCTGAATCTTGGAAAGCCTGATGTGTCCGAAGAAAATGTTGTAATCTATTATTCCCCATAAAGTAAACAAATTCTGGCACCTGCATTTTGCTAGCTCTGTTTTCTGCTTCTTCTGTGGTATAGCCTTCCTGTGTCTCATCTCTAGGAGTATTCTGTAGGGCTTTTAGAATCTGAGTATACAATTCTAAGACTGTACTTGTTGCTACAGCATGTGCTTCTCAATGTGTATTAGAAACACACTCTGAACACTGCCGGAATTATTTTTACGAACTGCCCATTAGTGAGTACAGAAAGCAATAACACATACAGTAAGTGAACAGCAGGAGGGAAAAATCACCTGCTTCGCTACAACGACAGACTGTGCTACGTCCTAGAAAATGAAGTGAAGGGGCAGCATGTGGTATGAATATGGCATATTCATGGCACATATCCTAACGTCTCCTATTGTATGCCTTTGTAACCCCATGTAACACTGGCAGGATTGTCTTAGGATTTGTCTCTGCACTCAGAAAAATCCATTTTACAAACCTCACATAAAAAAGTAAAGTATGTGATTTGCAGTTTCTTCACCCATATGAGTTTTAAACTCACATGTGTAATCAATTGCTCACTAGGTTTCCATCTGTAGGATATCTCTATCTGTATCTATATCTATATACAGCTTAAAGCAGTACTCAGCCAATTCTCTGTATGTGAAAGACCAGGAGCCGAATCCACTGATACACTAAAACAGCAGGCTATCCTTGTTATACTGAAAAGAACTAAGTGAACTTTATCACTTGTCATTAGGCTTTCAAATGTTGTGTTACACATGCACAATGAGTTGCCCCTTTCTGTATTATATTTTAAGGCGCAACTCTAAAAATGTGTCCAATTGAGCAACAACTTCAATTAAACTCCAGAAATTTCCATTTCGTGGGGACGCAAACACTGAAATGTCTTCCTCGAAAAAACAGTCCACATCAGCAATTAGTAAAACTACAGCAACAACACATTACAAGACAGATTTCCAATAATGACGCTGTTTGTTAATTTGTATTTCCAGTTCATAGTGAAGCCACCATGAGGACTGGCTTAAATATGACAACATCCAGTCTCTGTGCATTGTGATGTTCCCATCTTTGTCAATCACACTCAAATGGCTCCAATCGCTACGTCTATCCATAATAAAGCGAGAATGAAATGATCTAGAACTGAATAGACTGCAGACGAAATTATAGACAGAGCTGCCTGAGAACACAGTAGCCACTCTCCCTCACCATTGTCAAAATTAGCTTTGCGTCCGAGAAATCTATTCTGGCTGCAGAACCTTGTTTGTTCACATACAGACATTTTCGACAATGGATTTTCAAACAGTCCACTGTGGTGCTGACAATCAACGTGGCCTTCTTTTGATCCAATAATTCTATCTGTGTAAAAAAAAAATTAGCAAAAGGTGCATTTCCATTTTTTTAATGGAGTCAGCAGATGTGACAATTTCAGATTCTAAGATAGCTTCACTCCCCACTTCCCAGTATGTTTTTTTTTAACCAGATTAAGGAATAGAGGCAGGATTCAGAACAAACTATCTTTCTACTACTAACTGCAATCCTAGCAAAATGATTTCTAGTTGTTGAACTCCAGTGTTCAATTGAAGAACTGTCCTCAGAGTCATTAAGCTTTAACAAAAAGCAAATTTTGGAATTGTCTTTCCGGATTCACAAATCCTTTTCTTTATGATTTCAACAATTTTTTGTTTTTTTTGCATTCCACTTAGTTGCGGTCACTTTATTTTACCTGAATATAAAATTATGCCGCTTTGTAAATTTGGTACTACTAGCATATAGGGTCAAGAGCAATGGTGTCTCTCCAGAGATTAAGGTGCGCCTGATACAGGCCATGGTCTTTGCAATCACTTGTTAATGCATCAGAGGGTTGGACAATGACCAAGGAGGACAGAAGGAAAATTGATGCCTTTGAGCTGTGGTGCTGGAGAAGAGTATTGAGGGTACCATGGACTGCCATGAAAACAAACAGATTCATCCTTGAGAGGGTTAAACCAGGCTACTCCTTGGAGGCAAGGATTTTAATCTGTAGCCCTCAGGCCAGGTTCAAATTGTTTTCTTGTCAAACACTCTTCTAGGTGCTATAGCACTGATCTGTGCACTGCTGTACAGAGGTAACTCGTGGTTGCTGTGATGCTGAACACTGTGACAGTGAATGTGCCAAACGTGGTAATGGTTACCCATGGTGGACAGTGTTTGCTGGAGCTTCCTGACTAAAACAAGCCTGGAAGCAGCATCCACTTCCGAAATGGCTTGTCTCTGGAAACTCTATTATGAACAGTGCTCAGGCCTTTCATTCACAGGGTCGCTATGAGTCATCTACGACTCGACGGCACCTAACAACAACAACAACCACCATAGCATATAAATGCAAAAAATGGAAAAGAAACATTTATAATAAAATAAGTAAACTATGGGAGTTCTGGTGGCCTAGTGGCAAGAAGCTGCACTGCAATCCCAGAGGTGCATGGTTCGAATCCACCAGATGCTCTGCCGGGAAAGGAGGGACAATCTCCTCCTGTACCAGTCAGATCTGATTTGATGGTACACACACACAAAATAATAATAATAATAATAATAATAATAATAATAATAATAATCTATAATGAAATATAAAATTCAAATTTGATCGTGAGTACAAAAATGCCTATTTGAAAATTAGTAAGTAAAAAAAAAATTATCTAGAACATGCAATTCTGTTCAAGTTTGACCCAGTCAACATACAAAATATTTACAAGGAAGTCAGAAGTATCTATGATTATCATCCATCCTTACCCAGTAACTGTTCATGCTGGATCTAGCTGCTTACCGGGTTAACGCAGCAAGAGTTAGCCTCGACAGCCCACTCCCACCTTTTATTTATTAGAAAGAAACAGTACACTCGCAGAGACCCTGAGACCAGGAGTCTCAATTACACAGGAGGAGACTGTAGCAGATAGATGTCAACAAGTGTTGAAGTGACAGGAGCCTCATAGTTTAACAACCTTTCGCCTGAGCAACCTTGTAACCCTGTGTGAACTTTCTTCCCGGCTGCCTCTTTCTTACACACTGCGCTGGTGTCGATTTCATGTACTCCCTGCCGGCTCTTTTCCAGGGAAGTGCTCCTTTTCCTTGTGTCTGTGTTCCTGGCTGGCATCTACAGGTCTTTGCTTTTGACAGCAAGTGCCCCTGTTCTGTGGTACCTTAAGCACAAGATGAACTTGCTTACTGGATAATCAGTCCCTGGTAGACCACCTCTTAAGAGATCCAGATGCTTGAATAAGCTGAAATGGTATCACGATTTTACTGAGTACTCTTAACAGGCAATGGAGCACAGCTCAATTTCATATTAGCAAAAAATAAAAGTAACTATTATTGGGAATTCTAGATCCTATCATTTTTAAAAAGCTCAAAAAAAAAACAAATAAGACAAAGGAGACTGATTGATAAGTTCCAAGGGATACAAAATGTAGTCTCTGTGTGTGTATTCAATTATGTGAACCTCCCTCATTTTCAGATTGGTATAGAGAGGGTTAAACCAGGCTGCTCCTTGGAGGCAAGGATTCTGGGGCTTCGTCTGATATACTTTGGACATGTTGCAAGGAGAGACAGGTCTTTGGAGAGGGATATCATGCTGGGTAGAGTAGAGGGACGGCGCAGGAGGGGAAGACCCTCTATGAGGTGGATTAATTCAGTGACTGGGGTAATCGGGATGGGTGTGTCAGAGGCAGTGCGATTGGCACAGGATAGAGCAGGGTTTAGGGCTGCTGTACATAGGGTCACTATGAGTCGCAAATGACTCGACGGCACATAACAACAACAACAACGTCTTATAGTATAATTCTTCCTATAACTATACTGACAATAAAAGTTTCTAAATCTATGTAAATAGTATAATTCTTCCTCTAACTATACTGAGAGCAAAAGTTCCTAAAGCCATATAAATATTATACACCAGCTTTTTAATACTAAGTATTCTAATTCCTTCAGTGATACATACATAGGAACTGGTCTTATGCTCCTCTCCTCGAACTGAATAAGAAACACAGTTCTTAAGTGTAAGTCCTTTAATTACAGTGCTCGCTCTCTGAGCCAGAGGATTCACATTTCAACACATAAAAGAACTCCTAACACTTGAAACGTAAACAAGACTCATTTCAGAAAGGCAAGGCCTATTTTCAACACTAAGAATGATTAAAAACCCAATACCGTAACTAAAAAGAGTAAAGTAGGATCAACACTTGCATGAGAATGCATTTCTTCATCTCTTAGATGCTAGGAAGGAGGATGATTTTTTAACTCCTACGGCTGACACCAAAGGTCCTTGTTCTAAAAAGTTAAGATATTCTGCTATTGCACGAATGGCCAAGAACAAGCAGCTGGGATATAAATGTCTACATGTGTCTGCTACTGCCTGATACTTGTCTACTATGCCAAGCAAGGGAAGAAATGATACAGACCCCATGTGGTCTGAATAGCTTAGACAGACAGAAATCAGAACTCTGAGTTATGTTTAGGGAGCACAGTCCAAGCACCCCATAATCAATGCAACGGCGAGCCAGTAAATACACTGCGAACGATAAATTACTTCCCTCGTACACACCCAAGGATAACTAAGTAAGCAACAGATCCATCACTCAGTGAACAGGAAAGAATTTTCAAAGCTGTGAGAGCAAGAGAATAATGACTAGAGAGGAAGTAACTGCTTAAAGGTGGTTAAAATAGGTGAGGGAAATGCAGGACATAAAGTCAAGGTGAGATTGGAGAAGAGCATTAAGAAAAGGCACGATCACCAGAAGGGTAGAACAACAATGATGGAAGATTGCTACTGTCCTTCAAAATAAGAAAGTTACAGATAAAGATAGAAATAACCTGGAACAAAGCACAATTTACAAATACGGTACTACTTAGTGACAGAGTGCTAACATTTTCGTTCGTTATTGCAAATTTTAAATGACAAAGCATGCCAGTATTACCTTTCTTTCGAAAGAGTGCATTTAGGTAATTTTCTGCTTGGCATTCAATCTTATCAGTGTTGGACTGGCCCTGAGATGATAGTTTCTCCGTTGGTGTTGACTGTGAAGAATCAAGAGATGGTATACAATCCTAAAATTATTAAAACATAGTAAACATAAATCACTTCATTTCAAATGTATTTCCATTAAAAAACTGCAAACAGAAAATGCTCTCAGTGTTCTCACTTTTTCAACTTTTTTAAAAGTACACGTTACATGGAAAGAACACAAAATCTGGCACAAGACACTGGGGGGGGGGAACTCCTTCTGTTAAGAGGACTTAAAATTCACTTTATTATTATAATGGTCAGCAAAGGGGAGAAGCACATGCAATATCCTGATGGGTCAACTCACTACCTGGCACGTCCATCAAGAAAACCCTGCAGAGACCTTTCAACAAAGCAGCTGACTTAACCACTAAGCTGACCTGACTGGATCAAGTTCCCAAGCTTTCCTGTCTTCTCAGCCCTTCTCATACATAAAGATATGCAAGGAAGGAGGGTCTCCGCCGTAACACAAGCAGCCACAGGAACTCTAGTTGCACAGTCGTTAAGCATTTACTAGCTAACCGGAAGTACAGCCGTGGGACTCCACCAACCCCTCCCTGGGAGAAAGACCTGTCAGTCAGCTTCTGTAAAGACGCACAGTCCAGAGAAAAGCTTCAGGGCACTTCTACCCTAACAGGGTCACTGTGAGTCCCCCAAACTAGCAATGGGTTTGCTTTTCTGGTTTGACAGAACAGACTTTTAATAACGTACACGGGAGGGAATGATGATGTCTAAAAGACTCCACGAGTAAGTGAGGCTAAAAAAATAGCACACTCGTTCCCCCACCCTCAATTTATTCCTAGGAAATCAGACTCAAAGGTGGTCTTAGACCAAACTAGGCCACCACTTCCACCTTTGAGTATAGCTAAATGCAGGAGAACCTAAGCGGAACTGCATAAACTAGGGAATGACAAGAAAGAAATGTGAAAGAAACAGAAGAAAAGCTTCAACACTTTTTATTTGTGAGTTAAGCTAAATACTACACTATAATCATTACACTCTAAAACCGTCTCATCACCAACATCAAGAATTTAAAGCGTCTATTCTAAATCACAAATTTTCCAAACAAGCTTTTTTTTTAAGAAAAAAAAAGTGATACAGTTGTGCAATTAGTGTAGAAGTAATTTCATAGCACTAACACTTACACTGACTGCTTCTCTCTGTAGGTTACAAAATGAACATTTTTCATCCATAGACCAGTCAGTCAGCTCTTCTGGTTCACAGTCTTTAAGAGAAGGAAAAATACTCATTAAATTTACTACCTTTTATTAAGACAAACAAAAACACCACTCTCCCCAGCTGTAACGCCTTATGTAAAAATAAAATGAAATACCAACAGTAAGGGGAGAAGGTCTAGTTTTAGAATCAAACTGATGACATCTACCACAGAAATCAGGAAGGCTACAAGGAGTGGAAGTTGCAGTATCATGGGAATAATAAATGACCTGGCTATAAATTAGTAATTTTTCAATAAGATTTGAAGTAACATCTAGCCTTCTGAAGCAATCCTTCATGATACACACAGTTACGTATTTGGCTATTAACTGAATGGCTGATGGTCTGAATCCACCAGGAGGTGCCTTGGGGAAAAGGCTGAGTGGTCTCTTTCTGACTGAATACAAACACGGAAAGCCAGAGGGAACACAGCTCTGAGACAAGCACAGGGTCACCAAGCTTTGGAACCAACTTGACAGCAATGGAGTTTTGGGTTTTTAAAGCTTTTTCAAATTTTTCAATTTCTCACTATCTATTGATCTTATTTTTGATTTTAGCTCTGAAAGCAATCAGAACAAATGAATTCTGGAGAGAAAAAAGGAATAAATTTTGTACATCATAAAAAGCAAGATAAAAATCACAGAAATGGAGGAAAAGGTCAAAGTTCACAGATTTGAGACAATGAGATACGACCCCAAAAACCCTCCACAGTAAGTCTGATCAGATTTTTATTAACAACTTTTATTAACAATTGCTCAGAGGCTTTGTTGCAAGGGTTAGATTAAAAAGCAGATGAACAAAGCTATGTTATTCAACACACACATGAACTCTTTAAAAAAATCAGTTTTTTATATGCAACTGTAAAAATGATTATGTTCTGGAGAATAAAAGCATATTCTACTGACGCAAATTTATGAAAAGTTTAACCACAGTACCCTAACTACACTGGGTATCGTCAAAACCCAGTGCCACTGGACTGGAAGCGACTCATAGCTGACCCTCCCAGTGTGTTTATGAGGCTGTAAATCACCCAGAACAAGACTGACTGCCCTTCTTCCACAGCATCTAGAAGGTTCCGTCTATCAGACAGGCCCCCGAAGCCGGGACAGCACAGTACCGGCCCACCAGAGCTCCCCAGGCTAGCCAACGACTTTAATGTTTACTCTTTACAGGAGAAACTCCCTGATTTCTTTCCCCCAAACCAAGTTCATATGACAAAGCTCAAACACACAGAGGCAGCTACAACAGGATTAATATGAAAAGAACTACGGTACCAGTCATTTACTCTTAACACTTTGAAACTCATAGTAAACCTGAAAACCTATTTCTGCCAAACTGCATGGGAAATAAGCGTATCTTTTTTGTAATAATAATAATAATGACAAAAAAATATTAACTCTGATCAGCTCCCAGGATCTTTGTATCAATTCAGCTATAGAGCTTGGAACAGAAGATAATTTCTTGGAGAATAAAGAGCACAATGGTATTTTCTTTTTTAATTTTGGCAGCAGTGGTCCATAAATAGACCTAATATCCAGATGAACTTAAATGAATATTAATACTTAGTAGAAGGTCATGTAAATACCAAGGGAATTGAAGTCTCCAGAAATCTAGGATGACATCCTACTCTTCAGCTGTCACCCTGTCAAGCCACACTGGCTCATCTGTAAAAGTAAGACTCATTACCAAACTCACTTGTGGATAAAATGAAACAAACATGGAAATTATTTATAAACTACGAAACATCCAAAGGCTAACAATAATTAAAATAAAGTCCTGGATGTTGTGTTGGTTTTGTTTTTTTTTTTTTTTGAAAGTGGTTTGCCATCACATAAGGATGCTTGGAGAGAGATCAGTTGGTTTTGTGGACAGAAGAAAGTCATGCTCCCAAGCCAAAAGTGGGTGACTGACCCGCAGCCCTCAGGCCTGCCTTTACTTGTTCGGTGTTTTTTTTCTGTTTTGTTCCACCTCTCCCCCACCCCCGGATCGTATGACCCTCGTCTGTCCACTAGCTATACAGAGGTAACTCGTGGTTGCTGTGAAGCTGAACACTGTGACACTGATGTGCCAAACGTGAAAATGGTTACCCATGGCGGACAGTGTTTGGTGGAGCTTCCCAATTAAAACAAGCTTGGAAGCAGGAGTCGCATCCACTTCCATTAATAGCTTGACTCTGGAAACCCTATGAAGCTGGAGAAAGGATGAAAGTTATACAGGTGTCCAGGTGTTTCATTCATAGGTTTGCTATGAGTTGCCTCTGACTCGGCGGCACTCAACAACAACAACAACAACATGCCATCACACATTATTTTAGTTTTCAAAGGATAAGACAATTTTGATCAAGAATCTGGTTTAAAAACGGGTTACTTTTATGAAACAACCTGAAAAATCAAAAAGCTTAGGAATCTACACAGTTGAAAACCCATCGTCACAGAAGTGGAGTTGGACTGCTTTACGTTTTCAACCTTTCCCTAAAAGAACCCTACTCTGAGGTAGGATTAGGTAGTGCCTTTCACTGGAGAGACAGACCAGCTCTGACCAATGAAATGATCGTGGGGAAAGCGGCAGTGTACCACTGTGAGCAGAGGCTTCAGATAAGGTTTCTGTAGTCCTCCTGACCCTCCCATATGAGAAGCGCTGGCTCTTAAGAGTCATGTAGAGAAAACAGAAGGATTCCAGGCTCAGCCTGGAGTCCAGCTGAATCCAATCACCCCTGAGTGAAACACAGATCTGGGAGTTGTTATGCACAGAAAATTTTGACTCATATGTCAAGCATAACATAATTTTGACAAGTCAAGGAAACCTTACCCTTTTAATGTAAAAAAGAGCCATGAAAGAAACTAGCACTGAGATCTTACTTGAAGCTGGGAGGCATTAAAAAGGGTTACTTTTTTAAAAATGGTGATGGTTTCGTGGTGTAGTTTAAAATGGTTTTCCCAGACTCTGGTTTGGAATTTCACCCCATGGCTGAGTGGGAATATACTATCGATGTGAAAGAAATGAACAGCATTTTTTGGTTGGAAACATGAAAATAAAGTGTATAGATGACTGACTGGTCATTCTTGCCACTCCACAGGCTTAAACAGAATAGGTTTAGAGGCAGAAGATAAGAAAGCGGATGCAGAGAGGGCAGCACGTTTTCCTCTGCACCAGGGAGGTTCTCGCGCGGGCCTGACTAGCAACTGGACCAGAGCAATTGCTGTGGTGCTGGAGCACCGGAGGCCCACACGAGACAAACTGCACCTGGTGCTTCGTGTAGACAGAGTCGAGGGCATACACTCAAGCTTCCTGGAAGACTGAAGGGGCGGGCACACCACAACTAGCACGGCTTCCAGAGCTATGGGACCTGAGAGGCCGAGGGCCAAGGAGCAAGTTAGCATGGCTCAACAACTACCCTGATTGAAGAATTGCATCCTGTTTCCAAACCTGTAACCTGCAAACTTCCCTTGTTGTTGTTATGAGGTATTACTGAGTCAAGTAAGATTTACAGTGACCCTATGAACAACAGACTTGAACCCTGCGTATCTTGTGCTATCCTTATCATCTTTGATGAACTTGAACCCTATGTTGCAGTCACTGTGTCAACCCATTTCACTGGGGTCTTACTCTCTTCGCTGACCTTCTACCTTTCCAAGCAAGCTCTCTCTTTCCAAAGTATGGCCTCTCCTAACAATGTGACCAAAATTTGCAAGCCATCAGTGCTTCCAAGGAGCACTCTGTCTGCACTTTCCCCCAGACATATTTGGTTTCTTGGCAGTTCATAGGATATTTAGTGCTCTTCTCCAACACCAAAGCAATCAATTCTTCTTCTTATCCTTATTTTTTTGTCACGTGTTTCTCAGATTTCATAACAAGTGCCTGGGAAGACCATGGCCTGAATCGAGCCTACCTTAGGATTCAAACTGACAACACTGCTCTTCAATCTTTAGACAGGTCCTTGCCGGCCCACTTGTCCAAAGCAATGCATCTTCTGGCCTCTGGACTACTGGTACTGATGCTGTTGACTGTGGATCCAGGTAAGATGAAATCATTGGCCATTTCAATCCTTTATCTATGATGATGTTGCCTACTGGTCCAGTGGTAAAGACCTTTGTTTTCTCAATGCTGGGATATAACCTATATTAAAGGATGTAGTCAACACTCTTGGCACCAGCAGCCAGGAAATTAAAAGACGTATTGCAATGGGAAAACCTGCTGTTTCCAAAGTTCTGAAGAGCATTGGTGTCTCTCTGGAGACTAAGGTGTGTCTGATACAGGCCATGGTCTTTTCAATCACTTGTTGTGCATCAGAGAGTTGGACAATGACTAGGGAGGATAGGAGAACTGACGCCTTTGAGCGGTGATGCTGGAGAAGAGTATTGAGGGTATCATGGACTGCTAGGAAAACAAACAGATTCATCCTAGAGAGGGTTAAACCAAGCAGCTCCTTGGAGGCAAGGACTCTGGGGCTTCGTCTAACATACTTTGGACATGTTGTAAGGAGGGATCCGTCCTGGGAGAGGGACATCATGCTTGGGAGGGTGGAGGGACAGCGCAGGAGGCGAAGGCCCTCTATGAGGTGGATTGATTCAGTGACTTGGGAATTGGGATGGGAGTGTCAGAGACAGTGCGATTGGCATAGGACAGAGCAGAGTTTAGGGCTGTTGTACACAGGGTCGCTATGAGTCGCAAGTGACTCGATGGCAAATAACAACAACATTCTTTGATCTGCTGTAGCAAGCATTCCAGGTCCTCTTAATTTTCAGCAAGCAAGGTTGTGTCATCTGTATAACGCAAGTTGTTGATGAGTCTTCTGGTCCTGAGGTCACATTCTTCTTCATAGAATCTGGCTTCACGAATTATTTGCTCAGTATACAGACTGAACAGCAACAAAGAAAGATTCAACCCTGATGCACGGCCTTCCTGATTTTAAACTATATAGTGTTTCCTTGTTCTGTTCAGATGACAGCTTCTTGGTCTAGGTACAGATTTCATCAGAGCACAAGTAAGTGTTCTGGGAGCCCCATGTTT